CAGGCAGCCAGGTCAGAAGAAGAGGAGCTGGGACGCAAACCCAGGCACTCTGAAACGGGAGGGAGGCATCTTAACTGCTGTGCCAGATACCTGCCGCTCAGTCTGACTCTTCAAACAGATGCACTTTTGTCTTGTTATGGAGCCTCCCAACAGCGTGATGACATGGCCACTAGATAGACCTCGTCTGGTGACCAGAAGCACCCACAAAACTCAGGGCCGCCAGGACCCAGCCACGGAGATGTGATATCTGGGCAGCCCTTGCCCTCCCCTTTCCCACTCCTTCTGTGAACTTCGGGATTAGAACCCCTGTGATTTCCAGGGCTGGACTGTATTCTCCCACAGTCTGCCCAGACAGCAGAAGGGATTGAAGTTAGCAGCTGGAAGAACTTGCCCAAACATTAAGGGTTGGGTCTGATCATTGTATGCAATGTCCTGAACATAAGACGGAGACACTAGAACAGGATTACTGAGCTGCGTTTCCTCGAAATCTTGCTCAACAGTCTGCAGACCCAGCGGTTAACTAAAGCTGCTCACGAAGATCCCCAAACACCAAAGGAAAACAAAAAAAGCAGCCGCGGGTCTTCCGCACTGCCCTGCCACATCAGTCACCTTGGCAGGCCCCTGAGCCCCACGGGCCTGCGATGGGGGAAAGAGGAAGGCAGGCAGTGACGCCGCCACCTCTTGCAAGGAGCTGAATCCCAGAGCCCACTCCAAACCAGTGGTTCTCACCCGCTAATGCTGGCCTGAGCCCCAGCGTTTCTGATTTAGTAGTTTTGCAGTGGGATCCAAGAATCTGCTTTGCAAACCAGTTTCCAGGGGACACGAATGCTGCTGGCTCAGGGACCACACTCTGAGAACAGTTGGTCCAATTTTTTTACGGGTTCCGTCTCCTGCACACACTAGGATGTGGAAAGCATCTGGGCTTTTTTTCATGCCCCAGGGTCTGCAGGGCCACCAAGGGCATCTTTTCCAGGACACAGTCACCAGGTCCTCCCAGGACTCCCTCTCTCCCCACCCCGGCTGGAGAAGACACTAATCCTGGGAGCTCACAGAGGATGTGAGCCCTCTGTTTACCAAACTACCACCGACTTGGCACCAATATTTGCTTAACCTCTGCTCAGCTGCCGTCTTCTGAGGCTTTTCTTGTCCCGCCCTTGGCCGGGCTCACGTCTGTCAAGTTCAGTCCTGAAAGCCGCTTATTTACCAGTGTGAGGAATTCGGGTTTTCTTCCTGCACGTGCTCCTCCTGGATTTCCCAGCTGGGCCTCTCCCCATCCCACAGCCACAGCAGACTGAGTGGCAGGGATGGTCCCAACTACCTGCCCCAGCAGGCAGGGCGACGGTAACACTAACTGTGTTTATAATTATTGGCACATGGCGATCATAAAAAGTAAATCAGGAAGTTTGTTTTAGCTTATTTTATAACTGTTTTAAATTCTCTACAGACCATGTACTGCGGCTCCCCTGGCCTGCACCTGGAGCACATGGTTCCTGCCAGCCCCAACCTGGTAGCAAGATCTATGGGCCCCATTCCTCAAGGGGCCATTGCCCAAGGCCTGTCAGGAGAGGCGTCAGAGTGCAGAGATCACCCCCAGCCGGCACCCATCACCACCCCATCAGCCAGCCTCAGCACCCCGCATTGTGCTCACTTTTCCCTTCTCTACCCACCTCCAATCATCTCTTGCCAAGCAGTTATATGGTCTATCAAAACCTTTCTCCCAAGGCCTCCATGGAAGAGTAAGACTTCTCCCAGAAGTCTTTGCACCTAAAAAATCAGAACTCCTGATAGAGTGTTGTCTGTTCCCAGATCATCTGGCTGATGGTGGCCATGAAGCCATTGCAGGAAGGGTTCATCTGGAAAAAGTAGCCTCTGGCCAGGCCCCCTCCGGCCCTCCCGTGTTTGTGAACCATGAATGTCCTATGACACCGGCCTTCTCGTACCCCAACAAACTGGCCTGAGCCCCCATCTCATGGGAGTACAGCCCCCTCCTCAAGATTCCTAAAGGAGAGCCGGAAAAAAGCGAATTCTTCCAGCCTCCTCATGCTTCTGGGGCTTCTGGGTCTGGGTTCACCATACTGCTTCCTGCACGTATGGTCCTCTCTATGCTCGAATGATGGAGGATACCTTGCACATAAGCATATTCTTACTAGAGTTTGGGAAAACCGGAACAGGAAATAGATTAAAATTGAAAGTGACTCATAGTTATAAATGCCCTTAGAGTCGCAGTTGGACCCCTACCACTCCGGTTCTCCGCCTGGAGCTTTCCTTGCTCACCTTCTTCCCATCCTCCAGCCTCCACATACTCAGTTCTCCCCTCTGCCCCTAAACTGTGGAGGAAAACTGAAACGCATTTGTTAGCTTACTCTGCAGACACGTATGAATCTCAGCTCTCCCCTTTCCAGGACTTGCAGGCCTTGGCTACTCATCTGCTTATCAAGGGCCTCCGGAACAGAAAGCCACCTCACCCTGGCATGAATTCCAAGGCCCCCGGCACCCTGAGGGGCTGCAACAGTCACTCCTGTTTTGAAATAGTTTTTCCTTCGCCACTATGCGGGCAATTTCCTTCCCTGCCTACAGCCCTCACTTTCATTCTGAAAGCCCAAGAAGCATTTCATTGTGCCAACTCATTCTTCTTTAAATTAACTTACAAATATGACTCTAGATAAATATACTTTCAAAATATTGCAAAGCCATTTTGTGAATCACTGGAAAACAAAAGTGTAACCCATCACCTTAACAACCATTTTCATTTTTAGATACGCCATTCTAGTCTAGGTGCACCCACACATGTTTTTTAAGACACCTATGTTTTCCTCTTCTGCTTCTGGATTTTTGTATGACACTACACACAACTTTCCATATCTTCATTGCTATTGTTTCAGTAGCTGCATAGCACTCCACTGAATTATTTCCTCACAGTTTATACATTTCCCATTACCGAAGCAGGGATCTTTGTCTTGTTCAGTGATGTATCCCAACCAGCAGGTTACAGTCCCTGGTACATAAAAGGATCTCAGTATGTGATCGTTGAGTTGAATGTGTGAATGAATGAATGAGATCCTTAGATCAAAAATCTGGTTCTAATTTCTTATTGTTGTAGGCTGGATGCTATAAACATTTTTCATTGGCTTAATTATTGCCCTGATATAGATTCCCAGGATTATATTAATAAAAACAGTAGGAGCAAAGATACTATCAAACCCATATTGAACAGAGAACAACACACCATACTCTGTGCTAAGCACTTTACCCCATAAAGTCATTGACTTCTCACAACAACTCTTCAAGAAAAATACTAATTATCCCAGTTTTATAGATGAGGAAACAAAGAATTCACTAACTTGCCCCAGGTTACCCAGCTCGTACAGGGCATTGGTGGGATTTGAACTAAGACTTATCCCAGCCCAGATTTTGATGTCTTACCTGTTAAAATGATCATGGATCAAAGGGTATGGACAAGTTTTTGTCTCCCAATACATACTACTGTCTTGTTTTCTGAAAGGGCTGTGTCCATTTATTTTCTTTAAAGATTTATTTTATTTATTTGAAACAAAGAGTTACAGAGAGAGGTAGAGACAGGAAGAGAGGTCTTCCATCTGCTGGTTCACTCCCCATATGGCTGCAATGACCAGAGCTGCGCTGATCTGGAGCCAGGAGCCAGGAGCTTCTTCTGGGTCTTCCTATGCAGGTACAGGAGCCCAAGGACTTGGGCCATCTTCTACTGCTTTCTCAGGCCATAGCAGAGAGCTGGATGGGAAGAGGAGCAGCCAGGACTAGAACCGACATCCATATGGGATGCCAGTGCTTCAGGCCAGAGCTTTAACCCACTGTGCCACAGCGCCAGCCTCAGGCTGTGCCCATTTATAATCACAGCTAAAGGCTTGTGTATCCTTATTTTAAAATATATCACTTATAAAATGCATATGTTTAGGTTTTATTTTCTATTCAATCCAATAACTTTTACCCTTTTATTGTAATTTTAATTCATTAACAGCTAATGTAATAATTGACTCACTTGGATTTAATATCTCACCTTAGTACTAGACTATTCTGTGTTCCTTTTAATGCCTTAATCTAAATTGCTTTTGCCTTTTAATACCGTCTTCCTCTTATTTTAGCCAGGTAGATATCTTTGCATATATTCTTTTATTCTTTTTATAGGTTACAGAAAAGGGCTTCTATTATAAAATCTCCTGGCATTCAATACCAAAACAACCATCAACCTTGCTTGTTAGATAGTCATTAGACAACCTAAAATAAAGTGTCTCAGAGCTCTCTTCTCCCCGCGTGGCACTGTGGGCCAGAGACTCAGGTCGCCCAGAGCACGCCAGCTGAATTCCTTCAGCACAGGCACTGCCAGGTCTGGGCCCTGAAATATTAAGCAGCTCCTGTTGTCCTCAAAGGAGCTCTATCCAGTACAAACAAGCAGACGCATCACTTGATATCCAACTTCAGATGGCCATCAGCGCAGGGACACAACCTGAGCACAGCTGATGGCAGAGATAGGCTCAACCCCAGCCCTTGCCACAGGCAAAGCCCAGCCTGCCTGTGATGCCCTTAAAAATCCCATAAAGACTCTGGAACCATCTCTCCATGAGATCATCTAAAATGTTCATTCTGCCAGGGGTCACCCTCACACAGGACATTGTAGTCCTTTATTTAGTCATTGGAACACAGGACGTTCAAACATCCCTTATTTTTGGCTCTAAATGATTGTTGTACATTTATATTTGAGGTGTTCTCAAAGCTTTAAAATAAAACTATGCTGCAAAGGGCTGGGGCCAAAAAAAAAAAAAAGCTTGAAAATGGCCTAAGACCTTCCACATCTCTCCTCTCTCTCTCTCTCTCCACTCTGCAACTACTACATGCACACTTGGGAGGATGCCAATCATAGAAGAGCCCAGGGCATCGGTGCGTGTGTTTCCGCAGTAAAGGACTCCAAGAATTCCTAAAAATTACCTCCCTGGTATCTCATTTGCAACCATGGACACAAATAATAAGAATGGAAAACATCCTTGGCCAGGGAAGCAAGCTGTTTCTGTTCCTTTATTTTGCATCTGTTCAGCAAAGCTCTGTCGTCTTGTCTGGAATTAGAGAGGTCAGTTGAAGGTTAAGCCCAAGTGAGTGGTCCATCACGGAGTAAACACAGCAAACCCCGGGGCTGTGCGCAATGTTATTCTTTCACCTTCTTCCTGGAATTTCAGAGGCTGTCCAAACGGAACACAAAAATGGACAAAATAATGTAACAGTGCAAAATAATGTCAGTGAAGAAATGTTTACTTAGGGATTCGAAGAAAAAGCAAAACATACTCACACTTTAACTATGTGTCCCTCTCTCCCGCCCAGCTCTCTAGCAGTGCCCTCTCCCCTCAAACAGAAAAACCCAAAGTTTCTTTTCAGGATTTTATGCTTTCGAAAAGCCTTTCATCTGCCCCCCTCTCTCCTATATACACACAGAGAGATAGCAGAACAGAGTAGGAGAGTCGAAAAGGAGCAAATCCAGTGCTTTTCAAACTTGTTTTAAGCCACAGGATCAGATTATAGGCAAAATTTATGCGGAAGGTGTATTAGATGGCTATGGCTGCTTTGAGACTGTGTAACAAATCATCCCAGAGCAAACAGCTCTCTATTAGTCAGTGTTATGTCACTACAATAAAACACTTGAGAGAGGCTCTGTGTGAAGAAAAGCAGATCGATTTTGCTCACTCTTGGAGTAGCTGCAACTCCAACCAACACAGCACAGGCCCCTGCCAGGGCACCCCCTTGGCAGCACCACCTCACGGTGTACAGCAACTCCAGAACCACTCACCGGAGGAAGCCACAACTCCAAACAGAAGCCAAGGAGGCACTGGGTGGGGGTCAGGCTCAACTATGCCATAAGAAACATCTTAATCTCTGTTCAGGGCTTGCTCTCAGTGACCCAGCACCTCTTACCAGGCTCCGCCTCTTAAAGGTCCCATCACCTCCCAGAACTGCCACCATGGGGACCAAACTCCCAACACATGAAACTCTGAGGGGACAAAAACATCCCAACCAGAGCAGGTTTGTAACAGCATTTGTCCTCAGGCTGATGGACCCGCAGGATGACCCTGAGCTGATATAGGCTGACCTCAGCTGCAACAATTTTGCTTCGGGCTATCAGCTGGGGTTATGTCTATCGTACATCTCTGCCATTTTCTTTGGCCCAGGGGCTGCCTGGGACATGGGTTTATAATACACGGGAGAGCACAAGAGGCCAGCAAGCACAGTGAAAGGCTCTACACACATCCCACCCTCTCATACCCATTGGCCAACCAAGTCATATGGCCAAGTCCAAAGTCAACAGCATAGGTGATTATGGTCTTCTGTAAGGGAAATGAGTACTTTCTGACCAATACTTCAATCTGTCACCAAAAAACTGTATAAAACAGACATAAGTGTCTCTTTGCTAGTTGAGTGAGGGATGCCTAAACATCGTGCTCATTTCCACCCAGGGAGTCCTCTGGCAAACCCCAGGGCTTCCAAGAACACAGCATGATATGCAAGGCATCCCTCTCACTGTACAGGTAAGAAGGCTGAGGGGCCAACAATTTTAATGACTTGTCCACAATCTGAGAAGTATCAGGCATGAGGCCACAAGTAAGAGGATCCTTTCTACAAGTTTCCGAATCTGATGACAACTGGTCATTTTCCAGTCATAGCTACAGGGATTATAACAGTTACATAGTTTACAATTTGTGTAAATTGCTTGCAGCTGGAGAAAATGTTCACAAACCAGGTAGCATAGTAAATAAAGAGAGAGAGGAAGTGAGGAATACAATTCTAACTACTAAATCATGAACTAGTCATTTCACTTTTTTTTTTTCTTTTTTTTGACAAGCAGAGTGGACAGTGAGAGAGAGAGAGACAGAGAGATAGGTCTTCCTTTGCTGTTGGTTCACTCCCCAATGGCTGCTGTGGCCAGCGCGCTGTGCTGATCCAAAGCCAGGAGCCAGGTGCTTCTCCTGATCTCCCATGCGGGTGCAGGCACCAAGCACTTGGGCCATCCTCCACTGCACTCCCTGGCCACAGCAGAGAGCTGGACTGGAAGAGGAGCAACCGGGACAGAATCCGGCACCCCGACCAGGACTAGAACCCGGTGTGCCGGCACTGCAGGCGGAAGATTAGCCTATTGAGCCGCGGCGCCGGCCAAACTAGTCATTTCAAAGCACAAATCTCAGAATCCACTGCTCCCATTCCTGCCACCCGCCCATGATTGCATGTGTAGGGTAGAGCAGTGACAGGGAAAAAATATGGGAGAGAACTTAGCTGAGCTCAATTCTAAATGAATCTTTGATGGAGAAAAGCTTCAAACAGAAAAATACAAATCAGATCATGTTCTATGTGTTGAAAATGAAGACTTGAAAAGCCAGAGTATTAGGAAGACTGGGGAGAGAGTAAAGGATCTCACAAGGATGTAAGTCATGAACACTAGGGACACCAGGATGCTCTAAAGCTAGCTCTCACTCTCTCTCTCTTGCTCTCCCTTTCAAGTAAATAAACTTTCACATGAGGGAGGGACGGGTACTGTACAGCAGCAGTCATGCCTCTGCTTGCTATACTCACATTCCAAAGTGGACAGGCTGGGTTCAAAGCCAGGCTCCCCTTCCAGTCAAGCTTCCTGCTAATGGGCACCTGAGTTACAGACTCCTGAATCTGGCTTGGCCCAGTCCTGACTATTGTGGGCATTTGGGGAGTGAGCCAACAGATGGAAGCGCTCTTACTCTTTCAAATAAATAAAAACAAGTAAATAAATAAATAATAAGGCGGTAAAGATGTTGGCCACCACAGACACCTGTAAGATATGGTTAGAGGATTTAGTAGGAAACAGGAGGAAGGGTCAATGTCAAGAAAAACAGCCAATTAAATAGAAGAGCTGGCATTGTGGCATAGCAGGTAATGCCACCTCCTGCAATGCTAGCATCCCATTTGGGTGCCAGTTTGTGTCCCGGCCACTGCACTTCAATCCAGATCTCTGCTAATGGCTTGGGAAAAGCATCAGAAGATGGCTTGAGTGTTTGGGCCTCTGCCACCCACCTGAGAGAGCCAGATGAGGCTCCTGGCTCTTGGCTTTAGCCTTGCCCAATGCTGGCCATTGCCACCATCTGGGGAGTGAACCAGCAGAAGGAAGATCTGTGTGTGTGTGTGTGTGTGTGTGTGTATGTGTCTCCTGCTCTCTCTCTGTGACTCTCACTTTCAAAATAAATAAATACATGTTTAAAATAAGTAAATAGAGGCCGGCGCCGCGGCTCACTAGGCTAATCCTCCGCCTAGCGGCGCCGGCACACCGGGTTCTAGTCCCGGTCAGGGTGCCAGATTCTGTCCCGGTTGCCCCTCTTCCAGGCCAGCTCTCTGCTGTGGCCCGGGAAGGCAGTGGAGGATGGCCCAAGTGCTTGGGCCCTGCACCCCATGGGAGACCAGGAAAAGCACCTGGCTCCTGCCTTCAGATAGCGTGGTGCGCCAGCCACTGCACGCCAGCCGTGGCGGCCATTGGAGGGTGAACCAACGGCAAAAAAAAAAGGAAGACCTTTCTCTCTGTCTCTCTCTCTCACTATCCACTCTGCCTGTCAAAAATAAATAAATAAAATAAAATAAGTAAATAGAGACCAGAAGCAGGGGGCACAGCAGGATCCCCAAGAAGGCCAGATGTTTTCAGGCATACCCAGGCCACACTTGCAAAGCCAAGAATCAGTACAAGAGACAGTCTCCCTCGGTAATTCAGAATTACAGGGGACATCAAAACACCCGGCTTCTGGGATGAGATGAAATGGCGAGGCTTTTCCTTGATCCAAGAGTGCAAAGGGCTCCCTGGTCCAGTGCAGCTCTGTTCTCATTACTTTTGCCTCTCCTGGCTTGCAATGTGAGAGGTGAGTGCAGAGGCCAGACCAGCCCAGATACTGAAGATTTCGCTCTGTCTAACCTACACAAGGTCTGCGCTGTGGTGACTCCTGCTGTGTACAAAAACTAAGCAGGAATCTGCTTCCAAACATTCATGGAAAATGAAATTTTAAAACTGAATTAAAAGGTAAATTTGTTTTGTACAAAAAAATTTGAAACCCATGCATACAAAGAGTCTTCTAAAAGTTTATGGAAGGGTCCAGTGCTGTGGGGCAGCAGGTTAAGCTGCCATCTGCAGTGCCGACATCCCATGTGGGACCTGGCTCAAGTCCCAGTTACTCTACTTCTGATTCAGCTCCCTGCTGATGTGCCCGGGAAAGCAGCAGAGGATAGCCCAAGTCCTTGGGCCCCTGCACCCATTTGGGAGAACTAAAGAAAGCTCCTGCCTTCTGGCTTTGGCTTGGCCCAGCTCCAGCCGTTGCAGCTATTTGGGGAGTGAACCAACCAATGGAAAAATCTCTTTCTCTCCCCCTCTCCTCTCTCTTTCTCTCTCTCTCTCTCTCTCTCTCTCTCTCTCTCTCTCCCCCTCTCCCTCTCCCTGTGTAATTCTTTAAAATATAAATAAATCTTTAACAAAAAGAGAGAAAGCATTCTTGTAAAGCTTGTTTAAAAAAAAGTTCTTGGAAAATGTGGATTATGAGAAAACAATCAAGTCTTTACCGCTTTATCTTCTTTTGTCTTCACAACAGAGGAGGAGAGGTTCAGTAACTTGTCAGCAGGAAAGGGGAGATTTAACCCAAGTCCAACCTCGCGGTCTCCACTCTTTCACTATGAATCTCTGGTTGACAGAGCAGAGAGGGCAATCAGCTGTTAGTGGGCTAAAAAGACAGGAAGAAACCAAACTGTCCTGATGGAGACAGGAGTGGTGGCCAGGCAGCGGGAAGAGGGCATCAGGAGGGCAAAGAAAGGATGGATTCAAATCAAAACTGTCAGAGAAGATGTGGCCTGCCTGGGGTTCAGAGAGGAAGTGGCCCGGCTCCCACAGACCTCAAGAGCAGAGCCCCAGAGGAAAGCCCCCGCACGGTGTAGGGGGCATAAGTCAGGGTCCAAAGGGCAATGAGTTAAAGAGCTCAGGGGGGTCAGACATGAGCAAGGGAAGCACCTACAATGCCCACTGAATGCCTTAGCCAGGGGAGTCTACCCTGGCTGCACATAAGAAGCATTGGAAGTGTTTTAAAACTTATTACTGGGGCCGGCACCGTGGCTCAACAGGCTAATCCTCCGCCTTGCGACGCCAGCACACCAGGTTCTAGTCCCGGTCAGGGTGCCGGATTCTGTCCCGGTTGCCCCTCTTCCAGGCCAGCTCTCTGCTGTGGCCCGGGAGTGCAGTGGAAGATGGCCCAAGTGCTTGGGCCCTGCACCCCATGGGAGACCAGGAGAAGCACCTGGCTCCTGCCTTTGGATCAGTGTGGTACACCGGCCACAGCGCACTGGCTGCGGCGGCCATTGGAGGGTGAACCAACGGCAAAGAAAGACCTTTCTCTCTGTCTCTCTCTCTCACTGTCCACTCTGCCTGTCAAAAATAAATAAATAAATAAACTTATTACTGGGGGCCAGCGCTGTGGCATGGTAAGCTAAGCTTTTGCCTGCAGTGCCAGCATCCCATATGGGCACCGGTTTGAGTCCCGGCTGCTCCTCTTCTGATCCAGCTCTCTGCTATGGCCTGGGAAAACAGTACAAGATAGCCCAAATGCTTGGGCCCCTGCACTGGCATGAGAGCCCTGGGACAAGCTCCTGGCTCCTGGTTCCAGATCAGCCTAGCTCTGGCCATCTGGGGAGTGAAACAGTGGAGGGAAGACCTCTCTCTCTGTCTCTATCTCGCTCTGTGTTTATAACTCTCTCTCTCAAATAAATGTCTTTTTTTAAATATACTTTCTTAAAGACTTATTGCTACATCAGCTCCACTCTCAACATCTTTGAATTTTTAAAAATGTGCCTCACTTCATCCTAATGTGCAAGAACTAAGAGGCAAATCATTAAACCAACAAAACTCTGGGGTCATGGTTTCTTTCCCTTTGAGCCCCTAGAATTCCTTCACACTATAATTGGACTCTGAATGAGAAAAAAGAATCTTTCCCAGGATAGGGAAGAGAGGAGTGTAATTTTAGATCAAGGAATCTACCTGCTTTTTATTTGAAATGGGACCAAAGAGAATTAATCTACAAATTGAAGCAGTAAGAAAAAGATGGTCAACAATAATTGTTAGCATTCATCGGGCACATACTGTGTGCCAGGCACAGCGCTAAATTCTTCACCCTGAATTCTCGAGGAAACATTATGGGATGGATGCTAGCACCCTCCCTGTTGTGGATGAAGAAACTGCAGCACTTCGGGTTCGCCAAAGTGTTCAAGCAGGGTTGTGGGTCCCCAGAGTACCTACCCCCTCCCACTTGACGTTCCTTCTCCAGTGCCACCCTGCCCTGGTGCTCAGTGGCTACCCAGGAATCACATGGTGCAGCCTCACCAAATATCTGCGTGTGTAACAAGCTCCCCGAGACCCAAACCAGCCTTGGCCTTGTGTGCCAAGTCTGAAAATGACACGTGAATAGCAAGAAAGGGCGAATGCAGCCGCACTCTGGGCTGGGCAAACGTCTCAAATTATTTGTTTCAAACATTTTGCAATTGGCGAGACCCAAACCACATTTTTCCAGGCATTCCCCTCCCCGCCCCACCCCCACCCTGCCCTGCTTTACATTGTAAGCCCATGTGTATTTCCTTCAAAAATGCACTCCATATGTCTCTGATCCGTTTACACTTAACTCATCAAATTGTTGTTTGGGAAGAGCTCTGCGCTGCCCGTGAAGCCTTCTGAGGCCGGCTGTGAGGCCTTTGAAGGGCTCTGTTAGCCTCTTTTCTTAGAAACAGGAAGCTACGTTTAGCCAAGGGCAAACGACATAGAAAATGCTGGCAGCAAGAAGGAAGACGCTGCAGGGCCAAACAGTTTGTTGTGTTCAACATGGCAGACCACAAGGAGGTCCCCCTGGGGTGGTGTTTCAAGGCCCTAGAAGCTTGCTCTCCGTGAACCAAGATTTGGTTCAATCTTATCATCAGCCACACTCCCCTTCCCTCTGTTTGCCATGGTCCCAATTGGAGAACTTAATGGTCCTGGATCATGGATGATCCTAACGGTGTTGACTGCTTGGTGCAACGAAACCCCACTTCCTGGATTTCTACCTTGCAAGTTCTTCTTTTCTATCTGCCTTTAAAACACACACACACACATACATGCACACACACACACACACACACACACACATAGACAACAAACCAAACACTTCTCGAAACAAACCATTACATCTGATACGCTTTAACTCATCCATGTTTTTTGGCCTCAAAAAAGGGTTCTACTTTTGTTTTATTTTTTTAATTGCTTAAGTTCAGCTAACTTATGTCCCTTGGGGAAACTGATCTATGTAAATGTGATTTAACTAAAGTCGTGTTGAGCCATTCACATGTGTTTTGCATTTTCTCATCATCCTGAGCTCTGTACATGGTGAGCAGACTGAAAAATGATGGTGGTCTCATTTCAACATCAATTTTTATCCATTTTATCTCCCAAGAATGCAGAATGACGGCTGAGAGAATCTCACTTCCTATTTGAGGACAATCAGAAGCTGATATTTATGGAAACTTTGGAAGCGTGTGAAGTTGATTGCATGAGTAGAAGACCCAAAGGAAGATGGCAGTTCTTTAAGATGTCTGCATTCTTAAAAATCGGCCAAAATTTTAGTCAAGGTTCAAGTATGCCATTTCCTTGATTAAATTAAATTCAACAAACACTGAAGAAATGCCTACCGTATTAGTTTTCTATCATTGCATAACAAATTACCACAAGCTTAGTGGCTTAAAACAACATATATTTATTACCTCAAATTTTTTGCAGGTCAGGAGTCCAGGCATGATGGCTGACCTTGGTCTTCTGCCCAGGTCTCTTAAGGTTGCAGTTAAGTTGTCAGTTGGCTACTCCCATCTGAAAGCGCAAAAGGGAGAAAGATCCAATTCCAAGCTCATTCAGGTCATTGGCAGAATTCACTTCTTTGTGGTTCTATGGCTGGACTCCCTCTGTTCTTGCTAGTGGAACTGCTCTCAAATCCTAGAGGCTACCCCTCAGGTCCTTCCTGCATGGACCCCTCCACAGTTCCTCTTGAAGCATGTCAGCTTAGACAGCCATCAGATTCATAGGTCCCATGCATATTCAAGGAGAAGGGATTATATTGGATATAGTTATAGAAAATGCTTCTAAAAAGCACAGTAGGCTCTATGTCAACTCTGCACTACTTCTTGAATTGAGGGGAAGATGAAAATACCACAAACAAAAATTCAACCATCTTACAGGAGGTTTGGGTTTGAATGTTCCATTTCCATTGCCAGAGGAGCTGGAACCTTGAAAGCTCTCTTGGAATTCTTCACAGCACACCTTCTATGTGCAAAGGTATGGTGATGCATTAGTTATGGATCTTCTGCAAGAAACTCTGACTAATAAGGTAATGGATAGGCAAAACTTTTCCATGAGATACGTTCCTTAATAGAGGTATATTCAGAAATAGCACGAAAGTGGTAATATCAACACTGTGCTTTGTAAGACAAATGGGCATTCACCAGACAAGCACATACAGGGAAGGGGGAGGAGTTGAGTAGAATTGCCTTAAAATGGTATGGTATAATTAACAAATCACCATAATCTGACTTTGCTAAGATCCCAGCAAATGTGCTGTGCATTTTTATTTGCTTTCATTTTTTTTTACTTATTTCTCTTCTTTGAAAACGAAAAAAAAGAAAATGAGTTGCCTTAAAGCTTGCTTGAAGGACCATGTGTATGTGTTTATGATATGTTGTCCATGACTCATCCACTTACACAAAATAATGAAAATAACACTGATGAGGAAAATGTATAACAAATTAATACTCCAGCCTCATAAAAAAACATGCCCCTGGTTTCCTTCAGAATGTATGGACCTTTTGTTTTAAGTAGGCTTCTTGAAATAATGTTCATTCCAAAATGGTAGAAATGAGTTTGTGCCTACAGGCATAATAGCAGTAAAAACCAAGATAATTCCTAAATCCCTGAGCACAAAGAATGGCATTCAGAGTTGGAAATGAAGCTACACATACCCCAGCACCTGGGGTGACATATGCTGAACTGCACCCCATATTGTGTCACTTTTGTAACTTGGAACAGGATTCACTTTTGAAGCATGAAGTCCTCTGAGTTTTCTACCACAATATATAAACAAAGGCCAGAAATAAATGCCTCTAAAACATACAGCAGACTTTATGTCAACTCTAGAGTACTTATTGAATCATGGGGAAGATGACAAAACTACAAACGAAAATGCCACCACCTTGCAGGTGGTTTGGATCTGGGTGTTCCAATTCCATTGTCAATAGGCTAATGTGGAATAGCTTCTGTTTTCGCAGACCTGCTGCAAATAATCTGCCTCTCTTTGGCCTCCCTCCCAAGCCTGTGGCAGAGGGAAGAGCACTTGAGATACAACATTAGGAGATGTGGATTCCAGTCTCAATTCAATTTGTTCTTTCATTTACGCAGGATTGTTGGAGGACAAGTGAGTTTTCCACTTGTTGGATAAGTGAGTTTTCCAGACAAATGAAACTTTTTGCTAGCCACAAGATGTTTGTATTTTTATTGTTTAAATATGAGATTCTTATAAGAAACAGAATATATTAGCAGCATGGTCCCTGGAGCCAGGATGCCTGGGTTTAAATCCCACCTCTACCACATGCTCACTGTGTGATGAGGGCAAAGGTGTGAACAACTCAGTGCTTCTGGAAACAATGACAGTCCCTTCCTGATAAAGTAGTTGTGACGGTTTTATAAATAACCTTAAAACAAACTTGAAACAGTCCTTGACACATAAAACTCATGTCAATAAGTATCATTTTCATTACTATAAAATAGAATGTAAACTATAAAACGTAAGTGAGCCGGCACCACGGCTCACTAGGCTAATCCTCCGTCTTGCGGCACTGTCACACCAGGTTCTAGTCCTGGTTGGGGCACTGGTTCTGTCCCGGTTGCCCCTCTTCCAGGCCAGCCCTCTGCTATGGCCCGGGAGTGCAGTGGAGGATGGCCCAAGTGCTTGGGCCCTGCACCCCATGGGAAACCAGGAGGAAGCACATGGCTCCTGCCATCGGATCAGTGCGGTGCGCCGGCTGCAGCGCGCCAGCCGCGGCGGCCATTGGAGGGTGAACCAACGGCAAAAGGAAGACCTTTCTCTCTGTCTCTCTCTCTCTCACTGTCCACTCTGCCTGTCAAAAAAAAAAAAAAAGTAAGTGAGACTTTCCTTCTCAGAGTCCTCATTATAAACACTAAGCAACATATTTTGTGTATGTGCATATATATATGTGTATATATACACATGCTATGTATGCACATACTAATACAGCTAATCACTGAATATATATAAACACAGACATATGCACATATATACTGTGTGTATTAAATCATATCTTCATAACCCACTGGAACATATTAGGGAAGACGACCTTAAATGACCTCAGAAAGTGGTTTTTAATGCTTTGCGCTTGCCTTTCGTCTCCTCTCTCTCTGGTCCAGCTGTTTATAGCCATGTCTGACTGCATCTGTCTTTCTTTCCTGAGTTCTCTTCTGTAGCTTGGAAAATAAAGTCTGTTAGATCTGCGGCTGAAGTAAAAGTGTAAAGATCTGGAGAGGAGTCTTCGAGGTTCCTTTGTGAATGAAATGCCTGGGCTTTGACGTGTGGACGTGGTGTCACCTACTTTGGCTGATTTCAAGACAGTGTTTCGCTTGCCTTCTGGATCTTGCACATGTGCTAAATCTGTGGTTTTCAGCTGCACTGACAGGACCCCCAGGTTCTGTGAGCAAATCTCAGGGACCAGCATGATAGCAGAACCGGGGTAAGAGAAGCTCTTCCAAACCCTCCTCTTCCATTTCAGCCAGAGAAGCGCAGATACACATTTTACATAATGAGGTTCCGCCACTTGATAAAGTGCTGCACTGCAAAATCAATCAATACAGAAGTTGACAGCTGCTGTGCTACAAGGCTATGTTTGCCAGATAAATGACATCTGGACATACACTCCTTTCTGTATGTTTGAAATATTTCAAACTTTTAAAAAGACAGAGTCACAAGCCAAACTATCACTAGAAATTAAGTCTAACGCACAACAAATGAGACAAGGCATCTACAAAAGGCATCTCCAAATAAGTTGCCATCCTATGGTTTATAAAACAATTTTCAATAAGATTGGACAAACTCCATATCATATCACAGAGCCATCGAGTTAAAAGGCGATACATTTAAAATAATCTGTAATTTGGGGAAGTCTAAAATGTTAACGATGGATACAAACAGACAGGACTGAGTTGAACGACTGGGAAAAGGAGAATTGTTGAGAATTTGTCAGCTTTTTCCCAGAACCCATGCAAAGAGATTCCAACAGCTGACACCAGGTTTCTAGGCAAAACACCCCTAGAATGAGGATGGCTACATCAGCGTGATGTCAATGACCTTACAGCAACAGTAAGCTCCCTTGTGTTTTAGTTAACTCTTTGCTTAGTAACTATATCAGTCAGGATTGCTTTGACTTCAAAGACACAGGAAAATACGAAAGAGCAGTGTTTTAAACAAAGACCAAATTTATTTCTCTCTCTCAGCCATGAAGTCTGGAAGTAGGCAGTCCAGGTCTGGCACGGTACTCAAAAGAGCCAAGGACCCAGGCCTCTTCCACTTTATTGCCCTTCTTTGAGTGGCTTCCATTTGCAAGGTCACTTCTGGTCCAAAATGGTTGCTACAGCTCCAGACATTTGACTGCATTCCAGATGGCAAGAAGAAGAGGAAGAAATCCCCTTTCCTTGAAGGAACTTCTAAGACGTCCCATACACTCTCCTATTTACATTGTATTGGCCAGAACTTACTCACATGATCACACTTAATGGTACAGAAGGCTGGGAAACATAGTCTTTATTCCAGAGAGTTCTGTACTTGACCAAAAACCAAACATTCTATCCTATGGTAGAAGGAAGAACAGATATGGATGACCAAAAAAGTTTCTACCACGTTAACTCATTTTTTATTTCTATTTTGACTTCCTGGATGAACCTCTTCAATCTTATTTTTAAAAATGAATTTTCAAGTCAACATAAGGCTAGAAACAATTAACTAGGTTATGATTCATACAATGGAATACTATACAGTAATAAAAAGGAACAAATTACTAATATATAGAACATCAATGGCTATCAAGATAATTATGTTGAGTGCTAGCAACCAGATTCCCTGAAAAATCAAACACATGTTGCATGATTCTAGTTATATAGAATTATAGAAAATCCAAACTAATCTATAGTGACAGAAGAGTGGTTGTTTGGGAACCCTGGAAAGAAGGGGGAAAGACTTGAAAAGGTGCCCAAGAAACTTTGGGGCAACAGAAGTCTTCGTTATCTTCACTATGGTGATGGTTTCATGGGTATGCACATATATCAAAATGCATCAAGTGAGTTGCATGGGCATTGTGATGCAGTGGATTAAGTTGTCCCTTGGAATGTCACATTGGAATGCCTAGGATCAAGTCACACCTTTTATTCCAATCTAGCTTCCTGCTAATATACACTCTGGGGAGGCAGTAGATGATGGTTCAGTCTGTGCCACCACTACCCATAGGGGAGACCCACTTGGAGTCTCTGGCTCCTGGCTTTGGCCTAGCTATTGCAGGCATTTGGGGAGCAAATCAGCAGATGTGGAAACTCAACTCTCTCTCTCTCTCTCTCTCTCTCTCTCTCTCTCTCTCTTTCTCAAATAAATAAAATTAAGTAAATAAACTTAATTTTTTAAGCTCACCATGTTGAAAACTTAAAACATGAACAATTGATTCTACATCAATTTTACTTCAATAAAATCCAAAAATATTTTGAAAAAAGATCTTATTCCATTCCCAGTATCATGTCAGGCAAGAGGATACCAAATAAATTAT